TAATCCATCCATTTTTTCACATGATTAAATCATTTTTCATGCCATTTTATACCTCTAAACCTCAAAATTAAATTAACCTCACATTACCCCTTTTTGCCTTTATTTTTTTATTCTTGGTCGAAATTGACCAATTGAATGAAAACTTATACTTCTTCCTTTTACCTCAATTTTCACCTTAATCTTCTTAAACTAACAGGTTTATCATCATTTTAACATCAAGCGAGGTTGAGTTAATCAAGAATCAAAACTTTATACTTGGCTAAAATTCTATAATAAAGTGACCAAGTTTTAAGTTTTCTAATTCAACGTCATTGACACCATTCAAGCATATCATCGGATAACTTGCAAACATCGAGTCTTAAAACCACTAGTTTATTCATGTTTAAGAGTATTCAACCTCTTTGTTCTAAGGATAGAGACAACATCAAAACTCATGAATTTATTCCTATTAATCATCCTAAATCACAATTCCAATATCAAAAAATCACATACATCATTACAATCATTCAATTCAAATAATATCATAATATCTCCAACAATTCAACCATTTAAACCTCAATAAAATTTAAATTAACATTAATTACACATTAAAATCATTAATTTCTTATGGTTTAGTGACGATTACACTTACCTCACTTGAAATTTGCCCAATTCTTTTTTCCTTATTGGCTTTCTTCCTTCTCTTTCGTCTAATAATTTCAATCTAAATAGTAACTTTTCCTCCTTCTTTGTTTGATCTTCTATTCTAATTTTGAGGTTGTTTTAGGGTGTTTTTAGGCTAACTAAGGTGGTTTAGAGTGGTAGTTGTATGATTTTCTTCGTGGTTGGTGTGGTTACTCTTTTAGGATTACTTAATCATTTATCGCTTGTAACCCTCATTTTCATCTTCTTCCTATCCTTTTATGGCCATGGTTATTCCTTATGATTAAGCCAAGTGTGTCACAATTGGATTGATCTTAAGATTGGTTATTAATGGCTTCTAGATTTTTTTCTTCTTCCTTATCTTTTCGTCTTCTTTTTTCTTAGATATTTTCTCTTGTTTCTTCCTTCTTTGTCCCCTCTTTTCTTCTCTTTTTCTCTCAAATTTTTCAGAATTCTCTAGCTAAAATTTTCCCCTTATAATTAATTAATAAGTGCCCTAAAAAACTAAAACTTAACACTTTAGTCCCTAAACTTTTAATCTTTACAATCGACCCCTCCAATTTCAGTCCGTAGCTTCATAATTTTTCTCAATTTGGCCCTTATCCTAGACCTTTTCTAAGGGTAATTTAAGTCCTTAAAGTTGTTTAATCATTTTAATCAAGTATCTAATTTTTTTATTTTTTATGATTATGCCACTAGTTTTTGCAATTATGTCCCTAGGTTAAAGCATAACCATATCAATTAAAAGTACCAATATCTAATTCAATTAACCTTCCTTTTAATCATACTTATATTTATTTTATTCTTAATTGAAGTTTAAATTTTTATTCTGTCACATTTAATAAATAAATTTTTATTATTTAAATAAAATATCTTTACAACATATTTATATTTAAGGAGGATTTTAGGTCTTGATATTATACGTGTACTTGTGTTTGTGCATATCTATCAACAACATCGAACCAAACTTGACTTTCGATCCACCAAATGTATCCTTGTAGGGTACTCTCCCAACCAAAAAGGTTACAAACGCTTCGTCTTGACAACACAAAGTTTTATCACACCATGGATGCCACACTTTTTGAAACAAAACCCTATTACCCCAAAACCGATATTCATGGGGAAAAGTCTAGTCAAAGTAAACTGCAATAATATCAGTTTTTCTTGGAGAGCATAGATTGCACACAAAAAATACCCAAAACCGCAAATGCACCTTATCCACTCGAAAGTGCTTCTACCTATCTCCAAGTGTCCAACTTGAATCTAAACCACAATCAATTGATTCTACATCGCCCAAGATAATTGTCTATCACATAAAAAAGAAAAGCTGAAGGAAACAAAGACTCTAACAAATTTACAACTATCGCCAGCATTTGAACCTAAAGTAAATATCACAACATTTGATTTACAAATTATGGAGAAAAATTTTACGAGTTCTAGTTCAAGTGATCTCGATAATTCGATGAGAATCTATCCATTACACTCGGGAAAAGGTAAGAGAATGCGAAGTAGGCCATTGTACTATATTGGGAACTATGTGAACTATGATGGGCTATCTTTATTTTACTAAGCATTAACCGGCAAAATCAATTCTATATCCATTTTGAACTCAATACAAGAAGCCATGACTATCCCGAATGGAAGAAAGAAGTCAATGAAGAAGTTAATGCTCCGGTGAAGAATGATAATTGGGAGATTACCGATTTGCCTCATGGAAAGAATGTGATTAGGTGCAAGTGAATCTTCAATATAAAAACAAAAGCAGATTGTAGTATTGGAAGATACAAAGCTCGATTGGTAGGCGAGGGATTTACTCAATCCTATCGCGTAGATTATGAAGATACCTTTGCTCCGTAGCAAAACTCAATAACATTTGAATACTCCTCTCCTCTTGCAGCAAATTTGGATTGGCCCCTTCGTCAACTAGGTGTTAAGAATGCATTCTTGAATGGGAATCTAGAAGAGGAGGTCTATATGGACATTCCTCGAGGATTATAGAAAAAAAACTCATCAAACGTCAACAAAGTGTCTCGATTAAAGAAGTCACTTTACGGTGTCAAACAATCACCCAAAGCTTGGTTTGAGAGATTTACCGAGTTATGAAGAGTAATAAGTATATATAAAGACAATCTAATCATACAATATTTATAAAACATTCATCGAACTGATTGATTTCTACGTTAATTGTCTATATTGATGACATTGTTCTAACAAGGGATTATACTAAGAAATTTCAAGAATCAAAGAATTTCGAATAGAGAATTTGAGATCAAGGACCTAAATAAACTCACATACTTCTTGGAAATGAAAGTGGCTAGATCTAAGCAAGGCATTGTATTCTCTTAAAGGAAGTATGTATTAGATCTTTTAAAAGAAACAAGTATACCCAGGTGTAAACCTTCGGAGACACCTATGTACTACACCTTCAAACTTGGGTCTAATAAGGACAATGCTCCATAGATAAGAGAAGATGTTAAAGACTCGTAGGGAAATTGATCTATTTGTCACATACTAGGTTAGGCATAGCATTCTCGGTAAGTGTTGTTAGCCGAGTTCATGAACAACCCTACCGAAGAATACATGACCGTTGTGTACGAGTCTTAAGATACTTGAAAATTTCTCCGGGTAAGGGACTATTATTCGGAGAGAACTCAATTAGAGAAGTGGAATTGTATTCTAATGCAAAATGGGGCAAGCTCAATCACATATAGACGATCCACTTCTAGATATTATACATATGTTTAGGAACATTTGACAAATGGAGTAAAAAACAAGTTATGGTAGCTAGGAGTAGTGCTAAAGCAAAATTTCGACCAATGACTCGGGGTAATTGTGAAGGAATCTGGATGAAAATAGTATTAGTCGAATTAAAGATACCTTCTAAAGGATCAATATAGCTACCTTCGACGATCAATTTGCCATCAATATTGCTAAAAATTCAATTCATCATGATTGGACCAAGCATGTGGAAATGGATCGGCATTTTATCGGAAAAAAGAAAGAAAAGGGAGTAATCAAGCCTACTTACATTCCTTTTGATCTACAAACCATTGATATTCTAACTAATGCACTTCCAATGATGCATTTTAAAGAACTTAGTTGCAAGTTGAGTATGATAAATATTTACAATCCAACTTGAGGGTCGGTGCTGGGATTTTTTGCTATAAGTTAGCTACGAATTAGGCTATAAATCAGTGTAATTAGATGTATATTTGCTTTCTATCTAGAATAGATTAGGCAAGATTTTCCCCTTAAAATGGAAACAAGTCCCAATGTTTAGGACTCTTTTTGTGCATATAAATATATGTTCTGATATAGTAAAATTAGTTCATTCAAAACCTAAATATTCACAAAACAATTAATTTCAAACTACTGATTCATAACTTGTAGGTGGAGCTAGTGCAGAAGAAGACTAAAATTACCTATTGTTGCAGAAATAGAACCAAAATGCAAAAGTGCTTAATTTCAATCTTAAGAACTATCATATCCAATGTTGAATCAAGCAAAGCCAGTTCGACAAGTGATGCAACAAGGTTGTTGCATTCAATCAGGTAACAAACTTAGTGGGACTAAAACTGAATTCAAGCAACAAGACAAAAACTGTTATGCTTGAAAGTCGGGGTTGTTCTTGCTGCTAAGGTTTGAGGTAAGGTAAGAATGCATCAGAGTTTGCAGATGGATGAGTTCCGCTGTAATACATACTGAAGCTTAAGCATATGTTTTAAATATCAGATTTGTTCGTCTAAACCCCTTTCCAAGAAGCTAAACTCCCACCTGATCCCCACGAAGACAACATAAAGAATTTCAAGGATCCATCTGAACCAATAACGTTAATGTACTTAAATATTCAACTACATTTTGAAGAACTAAGTTTATCATTCTGCATAACCTGACCTACCAGTGCTGTTATTTTTTTATTTATAGGAACTAAACTCAAACCTCTAGTAATCTATTTCGATTTCTTCCAATTTTAAACCAAAATCTCACCAAAGCTCTACCGTCTTAATGTCTACAACAATACACCATCAACTCTAAACAAATCCCATCACAAAATCCAAAATTCTCAATTCTTTTTAACTGAATTTCTAACACTTATGAAATCACCTATCCACTCGATAATCACAATCACGCAACAGAGTCAAATCACAAAAGAAGTATTCCGCATTCAATTGCAAAAAAAAATCTGCGAAAATTAAAGCAGAACAACCAAATTAAGTGAACAAACCCTCAGATAACTATAAGAAAAACACAAGGTTCATCATTACATACACAACAGGAGGAGCAAGAAAAAGAAACATAGTACTAGTTTAGTAATAATAATAATTTTTTTTTGATTTAATACAACAAAAACAAATTGATCAGCGAGTGCTGTCATAATCAACAACCTCAGAATCAGTAACAGACCGTGAGTGTTGAACAATTGACCTCCCAATAGAATTGATCCACTCCTCTTTCTCTTTCTCCGAATCTGCTATAAAATACATTGTTTCTTGGCTCGTCGAAAGCTCAAACGCATAAGGTTTGTTAAGCACATCTTCTGCACCTTTCACGGTCAAGCACTTGCCCACTGGGATCACCCCCCGTGGAATTGACCCTCGCGTCACGCTTCTCTCCTTGAACCAGAGAAGTTTCCCCTGTTTGAGAACGAACCAGCGGCGTCGCCAGGTTTTTATGTAGTCTCCTTGCTTGGTTAGCCAACCGGACCGTTCTGGGTCTGACCAGAAGTCGATGTTTCTGTAGTCGTCGGGATTTGGGTCTTGGCCCGTTAAGGATCGCAAGATGGACTCCATTTTTTTTTTTTTTTTTACTGTTTTTGGGATTGGAGGCTGGAGAATCGACGAAGAGAGAGAGGGAGGGAGACGGAGAGTGATGTGATTCTCTATGTCCTCAATTAATTTTGTTAATTTTACAGGACGTGGCTGATTTAAAACGAGGTCGTTTTCAAATTGCGTACATGCCAAGGAGATTTTCAATTTTTAACTTGAAAAAGTGAAGTACAACGCCGTCGTTTTCAATTGTTTTTTTCTTTTTTAATATCAGTGGAGTGTCGTAGATGTTTTGCTGATTGATGATCCAAATTTCCAATTCTATATTTCCCAATATGAAAAATTATTATACCATTTAAATCAAAATTGGTTTTATTAGTTGGGAGCATTGAATTCATTATTAAGACCGAGCACTGGTCACTAGATTTATGAAAAATAACTAATATCGGATGGTGAATGGTGAAATTCGAGGTATGAAGTTTTCCTATATTTTCTTATTAGCAAAACTAAAAACTTACTTTTTCCGTGCGCAAAATGCAAATTGCGAAAGCCTTACATTCCGAAATTTAGGATTTAAAACATGTTTGGAAAACAATTGAAATTTCATATTAGTATCTCATTATAAATATAAATATTAATTCTGTAATATCTTTTTTTTATATAGAGTTGTCCCGATTAAAGTTTGGAATCACCAAATTACAAATCAATGAGTTAACTCAGTAAATTCATAACATATGAGAGTTTTATAATATGCTATATACATGTATCACAAGTATGTCTATAATGGGATTTGCAAAAAAAAAAAAAAATACACAATAAATGTTGGTTTATCGGTACAACAGTTCAGCATCTGTTTTCAACACATTTGTTGTTTTTTCTATATAGGTTGATAACATGCTTATTTTTCATAAGATTAATTAGTCTAATATCTATTACATACATATTGTATTGTTCATTCATTCATAGAAAGTTGGTAATTTTTTTTTTTTCCTTTTCTTTGCAAGAACAAAATTCAAGCCATGACATAAGAATTTTATTTTCAAGTCAATTATTATTATTATTATTTTAGTTTAGTTTTGATTAACGTGGGTCTTGATTACGTGGACTGAATTTGACCTGAATTCTTATCTGATCTACTTCAAACCCGATTCAAATTAGACCTCGAGTTTTTAGGTCGCGCTGAGTTTGATAGCTATGGTTTGTTTTTTTTCCACATAGATGATTGAGATTGAATAATTGTGTTCGCGGTATCTAATTGAAGTGACTTTTTCTGTTTAAAGTTGCTACTACAAAAACATATATAAGCAAATTAGCCACTGCCTTCCATGATTGATAAAATCAAAGATTGGCTTTGCTATTTGTTTCCTCATCGTTATTATGTCATTGCATCAAGCTATTTGTTTCCTTTACTCTTTGCATCAACTGAACTTGATATGAATTTTCATTGGAAAAGACTGTCTAAACTAGTAGTTGTAGACTTCTCATGCACCTTAGCGACTAAAAACCAAAATGATGAGGCAACAATGAAGCGATAGGAATAAACAAATTAGCCCACTGTTTCGATGCTTTCATAATTTCACGTACTATGTGCGAATTTGAGGAACTAAACGTATGTAATCGAATTGTGAGAATTGACAATAATCTGAAGGGTAAAAACCTTGTGATATCACATGGGTTACGAATTGCAGCCTTTGCCATGGAGCAAGAAGCAAGAGTCTTTTTTATTGGTTTTGATGAATTCAAGTTTAATTCCCAGTAAGATATTCAAGAAAAGATAATTTCGATGGAACCAGGAACACCATACTTCTCTTCCGCATTAAACTTCAGTGAAATGATTTTGATCATGATCGGTTTTTACAGCATTTTGAAGATGTTTCGGGTTGCTCAGAAAGGCTAACCTTTGAGCTTCTTTGTTATTTCACCAATATACTTCCCTTGGTAAAAGGCCTGTTGGAGTTCTAATTCAGTGGGTTGACGGCTCCCATCTGCTGCAAAAGTTCCAGCACCGTAAGAAGACCCACCTTTCACTTCATCCATCTCAAACATGCCACTGCCGAATGTGTACCCCAGAGGAACAAATAGCATTCCATGGTGTGCTAACTGCGTTATGGCTGTAAATCTGCAAACAGGAGGTGAACAAACAAACATGTGGCCATCGACTTTTTACAGCAAGTGGGGAGATCATAGGACATGGTGTATGCACACATGCATGTAAAAATAAATGGAAAACGATAACTAAGAACACAAATTTATTAAAACATGCCACAATTTCACATTACATCTGATTGTTCATCAAGATGATGACAGGAGTAGCAGTGCAGGATATATTATTGTACAAGCAAAGAAGACGGGTGAACTTTCAAATTTCCCGTCTCCATTCTATTCATGCAATTTTGTCAATAATTATGGCAACATTTCTTTGTGCAAGGCTCATTGGGAAACGGTTCTTGTCCATATATTCTTTATCAATTTTAACGTCTAAGCTTATAGATGCAATATGATTGAATGCTGAGCAATTTTTTTTCCTTTTGCTCCATTTGTTTGTTTTGCCTATATATATATATATATATATATATATATATAACTGAACTTGCTGCTGCTGCATTATCTCTAGGAAGGTGTTAGACTACTTCAGCTTGCTTTAAATGGCTCAGTATCTATTGCTACCACTGCTACAAGCCTGCTTATAAGTTAGCTATCTATGTTCCACAAAAAACAAGAACTCTAGTCCTTAAGAAGTGTTGTATATCTTTCCTTAACTTTAGCATTGTTTCCTGGATCTTCAAAAGCTTTTTATCTCTGTCTTGATATAAGATATCTAAAGCTTGCACTTGTTTACTTTGCATTTCATATTCAATTATGATATAATTATTCCACAAAATTCTAATTTGCTCCTCATAAGCTTACCCTGCAGCAATGCGTGATGTAACATACTAGTTGCATCTATAAGCTTAGACATGTTAAAATTTCTAAAGATTTAACTAAAAGGTTCTGCAAGTAGATGTTGAAGAATAAATAGACTCACGCAGCAAGTTCCTGGCCTCCTCCATAGAAACCAGTACTCCAGAAGATTCCAGCAGGTTTCCCGGCAAGAGCTTGGGTTGCCCATAGCTCATGGGTGGCATCAAAGAAGGCTTTGAATTGGGATGCCATCACACCAAAACGAGAAGGAAAACCAAAGAGAAAACCATCGGCCTCCAAAAGTTGTTCCGGCAGAATAACTGGAGCATCATCTGCTTTAGGATTGGCCTTCACCTTACGCAATATTGAGTTAGAAAGTGTCTCAGGTACCTGTTCCATGCAACTAAGTGAAATTTGTTGAGTATCTTATGAGTCTGATCATCAACAAACAAAGACATGCAAGAATTTGAAGGCTGACTCCTCTTGTTCACATGTTTGCATTTCCTTCTACCCATAAGTGATTCTCATCTACTACAGAGTTACCTGCCAAAGGGTTGCTTCAACACCCTGAACTGCATTAGCTCCTCTCTGGATTTCTCGTGCCATAATCTCTACATGTCCATGTAAAGAGTAATACCTGGAAAAAATGGAGAACTTAACATCCAAACTCACAGTAACTTGTGAACAGGAAGGGAGAGAGAGATACTTACACTATGTAGATCTTTGTGGTGCTCATAGCTAAATTCTTGGTGAAGATTATAATCCTAATTTAACAGCTACTGATGCATGTACGCTACTACCATGCTCGCTCCTCTGGATAACTGCAACACACAATAGTAGTAATACGTTAACAAGTTGAAGTATGTGCTGTCACAAACAATGACAATAAAATGCCTATGAATTGCATGGAATCCCATTTGTAATCTGAATGGAAGAGGTGAAATTGGGACTCCAGACTATCTACCAATTCAGCAATACCTTTGACTTGTGCTACCTCATATCCCTCACAATACCAAAATGCATACATCCACCATTCTATATGTAAACTTCATTCTTCCATTCTAATCGAAATTCAATGTAATTAGAACACAACTAGCTATCCCAAGCCACACCGAGACACTGACTTTAGAGCACGCATACGAGGATGGTCGAAGTCATTACGAGGTTGATGTTGAAGTCAGCAGCTTTAACTGACAACAAAAACTCACCAACTAGTAAAAACACGGTGAAATGGACCTAAAGAAAGAGTTTCAAAAAATCAATTTGAGTGCCAGAGCTACAAGTTAATCTTGTTTATCAGCAACCAGGTCATTGGATACCAATGGAATAACTCAATTCGGTTGGAGAACCGACTCCAGAATCAAGTTTCTTGTGCTGTTAAGGATGAACCAATTTTCAGTAAAAAGAAAGAAAGAAGATGGCTACTAGTAATTGGCTTGGCTAGTTCATCAGATTTTTCTCAAGTTACTACCCCACCAGGCAATATACATTCATCTTCAAAAATAAACGAGTGAAAAGCACAAAGTTGGATTCTAGTTGTTCACAATAAAAAAAAAGAAAAAGGTCATTCATTAAATACAGTGAAGGATTAATAAAATTCCAGCAACCAAGTGACAAACAAAAAGAATGCAATCTAATTGTACATAATTTGTAGGCACAGAAAAGGCATTTCATCAGAGATAAAAAGGCAGGCAACCTGGAACTGAAATTTGATAAAATTAAATTGCAGTTACGTAAACTGAATATATAAAAGCAAAGGGAAAGTAAAAGAGATTACGTATATGTGACCTTAAGCAGAAGAAGAAGAACAAGAAGAAGACACAACAATTGCCGCAAAACGCAGAGAGCTGAAACAGAAAGTGGTACCGATGAATAAAACTTATTCTTAAAGCCCTTTGATAGGTAGTTGTATTATGCCTTGTAAGAAACGAAATTCGAGTCAGATTATAACCTAGGGTGGCGTGGCAAGCCAAAGACTTATCATCATCTGGTTCCTTAATTTTTTTTTATTTTCTTTTTCTGATCAACTCCAAAAGGTTTTCTAGTCGCTATGTCTGTCTTCATCGTTTACTCGAAACAACCTTGTAATTTTGGAATTTATTGGCAACAACAGCAGAGAATCTTTAAATAAATAAACGGAATAAAACGTGTCCACTCTCTAACAAGGGCCCCCTATCCTAGGTCCTTATTTTACTCTTTGCACTCTTTAATGTACTGTACATAATCAACGGTACCGATGTAATAATTTCCATGTCTTCTAACAAACAAAATTGGGGTCAGATTACGTTGCGTGGCACGGCAAACCAAAGGCCCATCTTCATCCGGTAGTTGTTCTTCTAACAAACAAAATTCGTGTCAGATTATAACGTGGCGTGGCGTGGCAAGCCAAAGGGCTGATGCAATTTTTATGTTTGTGCCAAGACTGATTAAAGGAAAAAGAACAAGGCATTTCAGCAGCTATAGAAGCTGTCTAAGGGGGTACACGAGAATAAAAAGGTTAATTGCTGAGGATAAAAAAAAAATGCTCCTCTTAGTGATGTTGATTTTATCAGCAGACGATGAAAAAACGAGATGGATGAATTTTTGGACACAATTTATGTAATTGCAGGTTAATTGTTGTTAGTGTTAATAAAAATGAAAAGAGTTGGGAATTGCCAGGCCAAAATAAATGAATTAATAAATAAAGAAATGAAGAGAGAGTTGGAAATTGATAGGCCCAAATAAATAAGCCAACTGTGAGGTCAAAAAAAAAAAAAAACAAAACCCTCATGTCTAAATGACATGGCAAAAGCGTGTTATTTTTACAAATAAGTTTAAAAGTCCTCTGCTATGACAAATAGCATATAAAAGTACTTTAAAGTGGAAAAAAACTCATCATTGGGTTGCTTAATTTTTATTTTTATTTTTTTTTAAGGACTCCCAATTCCCAAAGCTAGTCGCTCTTACTGTCTTTGATCATTTACTCGAAACAGCCAGGAAAAGCTTGTCCTGTGACTCTTGTCTTTAAACTGAAAACCAATAAAAAAATAAATAGAATAAAGCGTGCCCATCCTCTAACAACGCCCCTCCCATCCTAGGTCCTTATTTTACTCCTTGCACTCTTTAATTTACCGTACACCACCAACGATGTCATAATTTCCTTGTGAAAATCTTACCAAAATTTCCATGCTCCCAAATTGATAGTTACTATTCTACTAAACACTAAAAGAACTGAAGAGTTTACTGTTCTCTAACTCATTCGGCGCGTGCGATTTCTTTTCCATCGAGGCCCCCTGTAATTTGTACTTGAATTCCTTTTGTATTGCTCTGCTCAGTTAATTCAATAGCCTTTTTCATTGCTTTGCGAAATGAAACTCGATTCTTTAATTGTCCAGCTATAAATTCTGCAAGAACATTCGGGTGCATGAAAGGGTTTTCAATTCTTGTAATAGAAATGTTGAGTTTTCGGTTCACTGTTAATTTAAACAGTGAATGAACAGTGACTTCTTATTTATTTTCTTGTGTAACTAATTTTTTTTTTATTCTTATTTCTGAATAGTGAAATTCTATTAAACATCAAAAGAATTGTGGAGTTTATTATTCATTTAAACAGTGATTTTTCACTTCTTTTGATGGGATAGTTTTTTTTTTTTTTTTTGTGATTTTCGTTTCTAAACAGTAAAATTATTATTCATTTGAACAATGTTTTTTGTCATTTTCAATTTATTTTATATGGTCCCTAAATTTTAATCTCCTAAACTGATGCATGAAAAAAATTGCTCGATCCATAGACATAGTAAAATAATGTAAGAAGAGAACGATAGTTTATAGCTATAAAAATTGAAAATACCTCCCGTGCATGTTATATGTGGAAGGAGTGGTCATGTGCAGATTACAGGAAAGCACAGATAATGGTCCTGCCAGGAAGAGCTATTAGGACATCGAGAGAGCATGATTCATATATATATATATATATATATATATTAAGAGATAGTTTATAAGGCTCGACAGCCACGAAAGCTATTAAATTTATGTTGGGTCAGTCTTGGCTTCGGCATTCTATAAAGGGTCATTTCTATTTTTTAACATTATCTTCCACTGTTCTCACATTTCTGCTGCAACGCTACTAGACACATCATTGCCTTTATTATAATTATATACTTTTTTCAATTCTTGTAATAGAAATGTTGAGTTTTCGGTTCACTGTTCATTTGAGCAGTGAATGAAGAGTGACTTCCTATTTCTTCTTGTGTAACCATTTTTTTTTCTTATTTTCATTTCTGAATAGTGAAATTCTACTAAACATTAAAAGAAGTGAGATTCTACTAAACATTAAAAGAAGTGAGGAGTTTTTAAACAGTGACTTTTCACTTTTTTTTGGTGTGACTAGTTTTTTTTTTTTGTTTTTTTGGTGATTTTCGTTTCTAAACAGTGAAATCACTATTGATTTGAACAATGTTTTTTGTCATTTTCAATTTATTTTACGTGGTCCCTAAAATTTTAAAATAAAAATTTTAATCTCCTAAACTGATGCATTACACATGTCTTTTTTTTCTTTGGTTTTTTCCTTTACTTTTTTCTATCAATTTATGCTTTTTTTATTTAATCGGGTATTAAAACTTTGAAAAATTAATTTTTTCTTTGCTTTTTTCCAATCAATTTATGTTCTTTTTCTATTTAATTGAGTGTTAAAATTTTAAAAAATCAATCTTAACTTTTTTTCATACAAATTAATGATTGTATGATATATCTTTTTATATTTTAAAATTAACATATACTTCGACTTATAAAATTACTCTTATTATTTAAATTTTGTTATTTGAATTTATCTCTTTTTTATATAAAAATTATCATCCAATTATATGAAATTTTATTTGCTAATTCTACTAAACGAGTAAAAGAAGTGATGAGTTTACTCTTCATTTGAACGAATGAATGATGACTTTTCACTTCTTTTGGTGTGATCATTTTTTTTTTTTTTTTGCGATTTTCGTTTCTAAACAGTGTCTTTTGTCATTTTCAATTTATTTTATTTTGGTTTCTAAAATTTTAATCTCCAAACCGATGCACTACGGATGTCTTTTTTTTCTTTGGTTTTGTCCTTTACTTTTTTCATCAATTTTTGTTTTTTTTTTAATTTAATTGGATATTAAAAATTTGAAAAATTAATTTTTTCTTTGCTTTTTTTTCCAAAAAATTTATGTTCTTTTTATTTATTTAATTAGGTGTTAAAATTTTGAAAAATCAATCTTAACTTTTTTCACACAAACTGACGATTATATGATATATCTTTTTATATTTTAAAATTAACATATACTCCAACTTATAAAATTAGTCTTATTATTTAAATTTTATTATTTGAATTTATCTTCTTCTTTTTTATGAAAATTCTCGTCCAATTATATAAAATTTTATTTGCTGATATTATATGATTTATTTTTTTCTATGTTTGAATTTTATACTAAAATTTTAAAGCATGATTGTTTTTTTCTTTTTTAGAAAATAAATTGATATAATATATACAATGAATTCTTTGAATATTTAAATGATAGTTGCATATATATATATATATATATATATATATATATTCTAAAACGTTAGAAGTGAATTTTAAATAATTTATCTCGGTTCACTAGGTATAATCAAGATGTATAAAAAAAATTATTGAATTCTTGATTTTATTAAAAACTAATTATACATCTTCCAACATGATAAAAAGTATTTACTATAAATATTTTTTAACATTATAGAATCAATTTATTTGAAATAAAATAATTAAAGTAATTTATTAAAGGAACCAACCAATTATTTAAATACTATTTTTTATGCTAATTTTATTGATTATTTTGTAAATAATATATATATATATATATATATATATATATATGAAGAAAAAAACATCTTCTCACCAACATTAAATAACAATAAATTTTTATTTTTTCATTGGTTAGTTTTTATGCAAGTCTATATATTAATTGTAACTTTTTTTTATACATTCTTATAAAAAAAATAATTTTAAAGTATTTTTTTTAATTCTCAATTAATATTTCAAGTTTAAATTATTACAAGTTTTTATTTAAGAATCCCTGAATAAATAAGAATAAATCATTTTTTTAAGCATAAATTTTACGAAAAATACATAAAAAATAATAATAATTAAATAAAAAATTAATGAAAAACTTATAACATTTCAAACTGATATTGTTTCATTTACCCATAACGTTGGGCGGATAATTTCAAAAATTAATCTTCTAATCGGCATTAAATAAAAAAAAATTCATTTGTTAATTTTTGTAAAAGTCTATCCATTAATTATAAATTTATTTTTTTGAATACAATAGTGTAAAAATTGTATTTTTAAAGTTTTTTCTTTCAATTCTTGATTAATATTCTAATTAAAATTATTATAATTTTTAATTTTAAAATCAATCCATAAAAAAGAATAATTTATGTTTTTTTAATTAAAAATGTATAAAAAAATTAGAAAAAATTAAGTAAATATAATATTATAATTTAAAAAAATTTTAAAATAAATTTATTCTACCAAACTCGAGGCTTCACGTGAGTAACCGGCTAGTTACAAATAAAACTAAACAAAAACGATAAACAACTGTAGCAATTTCACTGTGGATTAACTGTTCACGGCTTTTTTTTTTCTTCTTTTCTTTCCCTCCTGCTTGCTACCCTCTTCTTTTTTTTCTTTTCGTTCTCTTCCGTTTGCTTTTGGCTTTTAGCAAACTTTGTTTTTATTTTAATCCCTTTTTTGTAATCTTTTTTAATTTTGGTCATTAAAATTTTATTCTATTTGATTTTTATCCTTATAATAAATATTAAAATTTTATTATATTTTATTTTTTTCCTATAATAAATATTGTTTTCTTGCCTTTTAGTAAAAATTTATGCTTTTTTTTCCTATTTTGTGATATGTTTTTATTTTTTTCATTAAAGTTTTATTGTGTTTGATTTTTATCCTTATAATACTAAAATCAAATAAAGTTTCACTATACTAAGCTTTTGTTTTTTTTTAGCTTTTAGTTAAATTTTTCTTCGTGTTTTGTGATTTTTTTCTTTGTTTTGGTCATTGAATTCAATAGCATTTTATTTTTGTTTTAGTCCTTGTTTTGTAATTTTTTTTATTTTAATCATTAAATTTTTATCATATTTAATTTTTTTCCCTACAAGGAACTATTTTTTACTTTTAATAAAACTTTTTGTTATATTTTAATTTTTATTCTGTGATCTTTCTTTTATTTTGATAATTGAAGTTTTATTATATTTGATTATTATTCTTTTTATACTAAATTTAAATACGGTTTCAATATTCTAAGTTTTTTTTTGGCTTTTAGTAAAAAACACTTTCTATTTTGGTTCTTATTTTGTGATTTTTTTTTATTTTGTTCATTAAAATTCTATAATGTTTTACTTTTATTCCCGCCTTATGCATAATGAGTTTTTTTAATCTTATTGTTTATAAGTTTTTGTTTTTTTTTTAATCCTTCTTTTATGATCTTTACTTTTTTTATTATTTAATTTTTATTGTGTAATTTTATCTCTATTTTTGTTTTTTGGGCCAAATTCTCGATTTCAATATTTTTTTTTTTAAGTGATCTCTCTCGCTTTATTAATAAATTACGGATGAAGAATATATGATAAAAATTAATCATTTAAATTTCAAAAAACTACCAAATCATTATTTTAATTATCGGTTATTATACATATTTCTCATAAAATAAATTTTTATATAAAACAATATCTAATTAGCAATTTTATATTACTCAACTTTGTAGACTTTTCGTTTAGCTAACCTTACAGACAAAATATGATATATACGCTTTTTTTTTTAATTTTTTTCATGTGATCGTTTTAAATAATTATTTTTGAATTTTATATTTTATATGAATAAACACATAAGAATGTTGTATAGCTCATCCCGCAACAATGCGTGGGATATATGCTAGTATTTTACTAAAAGCCATTTGAGTAAATGATGAAGGCAGGAGGTTTTGTTCTTTCGTAATGACACAGGGACCGTGACAAAATGGTCTTTGGGACACTGAATAGTGAACGGATCAGCCCAAAAAAATCCCCTTGCTGCTCATGGTTATCTAAAGGCTACAGGAAGTCCTGATTAATTTAACTGATGTAATTCAGTGCCTTTGATCACATGAAGAAGATTCAAATTGGTGTTGAATGGATCGGGAATTTAACCCTACTTGGGGTAGTTAAATTCTGATAGTTTAATTAATAAAAAAACTAAGACGAAGGCAACTGTAAGAAACAACATACCAATGATGAACACTGGTGAAGAACATAGCAGCCACGTCCCCACCCACCAATAAGGGTGGCCAATTTGGTTGAAGCTGTCACGGTGATCATGGCTGTTGTTCACATTATACCGAAACTGTGAATGGGGTATTCAGTAACTAGCAGCTTTGAAAAATCAAATTCTTGTGGTCTAGATCTTTGCAGTCACAGCCAGACTTTACGAAGTGACAGCAGTATACAGAACACTTTCCTTTGAACTTTAACAATTGCGACACAAGCTACGAAATTTAATCATTCCTTGAGAAATGCTGACTCTGCAAGATCAATGGCACGGGCAAGAGCAGCGGCTTTGTTCTCACACTCTCTCTGCTCATCTGCAGGATCACTATCAGCCACAACTCCAGCCCCAGCCTGGAGGTGAGCTACCCATTCTCGACGTGTGTTCACATCCTTGTATGAATACATTGTATCATAACGAATACTGGTAGGGAAGACAATAGTCCTAAGAGCAAGCGCAATGTCCATATCACCAGTAAATGAAATGCCTCCAAATCCACCACTATAGGGCCCGCGTCTGGTCACTTCCAGCTGATCGATCAATTCCATGGCTTTCACCTGTATTCCACCAGAGTTGATGGTGAGAACAAAGAACAATTAACCCACATGAGGGCTCAGCATCAAATTTCCTTATCAGTCTATATCAAACCAATGCTTTTATGTGAGTTTATGCTGAGTAAAGTAGCTTCAGAGTTTGGAGCCATGTCAGCAAGTAGGACATAGATACTGAATGTAAGAACAAAGTAGATTTACAGATACCTTTGGAGCTCCGCTAACAGTACCAACAGGCAATGCAGCACGTAAAGCATCCCAACTAGTTAACTTATCAAGTAACTCTCCAGTGACCTGCAAAGATGAATCAATTAAATGGAAAATACTTCAGAAAAAAAATGAAGATCTTGTGACTTCAAAATGGCAATAAGGACCTTATTGCAGACATTTTTAAAGCCAGCAACAATAATCAACAGCAAAAGTCACCGATAACAACAAAGGAAGGAACCTAGCCAGTGCATTTCTTTTTTAGTTAGAACCAACCTCATTTAATCCATTTTTTATGCATTCGCAGAAGTAGCTGATTCTTCAAGGTTAGCTATGAAACATAAAGAAGATAATATGTAGATTTACTTACTGCCACCTGCAGACTAGAACCATAGAAAGTGACAAGAGATACGTACTGTTGAGCTGATATGCATAACATGGGAATAATGTTCAATATTCATGAGCTTTTCAACCTTCACAGAACCAGGTTTGGAGACCTGCATGGAGGGCCAGTCTTCAGGACGGATTTATTGGCATATATACATATAGTAAGGCAGCATTCAAAATATGCTGGCATGGCTCATTAAATGGAGCACTTCAGAAGCAATGTTATTTGATACCTATTCACACAATTGCGTATTCATTTTCTAGTTCATTAACACATTCCATGCATGTAAATTAACAAGAACCAACCTTTCCCACATCATTCCTCCCCAAGTCAACAAGCATAATGTGCTCTGCACATTGCTTTTGATCATTCAAAAGCTCCTTTTCCAACATTATATCTTCTTTAGGGGTCTTTCCTCTCCTAATGGTCCCAGCAAGGGGACGGTTTGTAATCTTTTCCTGTCAACAAATACCAAATTTATGAGAGAAGCAAGAAAAGAAATAGAAAACCAACTGTCTGATTATTCATCACATTGTTGGTTAAGAGATACCTTCTTCACACGTGTAAGAATTTCAGGACTAGAAGCAACCAGTATACATCCTCTAGCCTGATAACGAGAGAAAAGCAAACAAATGACAATTTTAAAAACATCTAAAATCTTGGGACAAATAGTTTCAAAGGAAGAGAGCAAACTTGTAAATAAGTCATGTAAGGACTTGGATTGACAATCCTCAAAGCTCTGTAAATTTCAAAAGGATCTGCATATGTCCGACGTTCAAAACGCTGACTTAATACAATCTGGAAAATATCACCAGCCAAAATATGGTCCTTCGCCTGTAACACTGCATCCTTGTATTCTTCACTCGTCATACTTGAATTCTCCAATTTAGGGCCGAAAAGACGAGTGAACAACTTTATTGAACCTGCTGGTAGCCTTGGTCTGAAATTGAGAATCGAGTCAAGGATTTTCATCTTGAACATATACACTATGCGAAAGCAAAAAATAGCATGGCAGAATAAACATAAAATTGACTACTTACGTAGCAATATCATGCACTCTTGATAAGATACTGTCCAGTCGGCTCATTCCATCTTTAAAGGCCTCCTCCACAGAAGAAAATTGATCTAATTGCACCCAGTGAATCACATAAGCTTTCTGAGGTCAAGAGAATTACAAAATTAAAAAAGAAAAATACCACCAGAGAAACTATCAAATTAGACATAAGAAAATGTACAATAAAAATAACAATCTGACTTGTTGCTACTGTTTTTTTTTCCTTTTTGGCTATGCTCTGTGATGGGGCATATGTGTGCTATTCCCTGAATTCTGTAATTAAAGTTCTCAAATATTATTGCAAGAAAGAAAACAGAGAATGCAAAATATGGGTCGGAAAAAAGCTTCAACACAAGAAATTGCAATGCATTCAAACGAAAAAAATGCTCAAATTAAAGAAGGGAAGATGCCTCAAGCATGTCCATGTTTGGAGTGATAAGCAGCATATATGGAAAATAGCCATGGCCCCTGAATCAGGTTAAAACCAACAAAGTATCACCTTTTCCACATGATCAAACACAATCACGTCATCATAAAGGCCTAGATGGACATCAGGGAGATTTCTATCATCAGGTGGGGCACCGGAGAAAGGCAGCTTTTTCTTCTCTACATACCTCACTGTGTCATATGAGAAATAACCTACCCATCCACCTAGTCAAGAAAGAAGTGAATAAACATACTTGCACCCTTACAATAAACTCAACATAATTTTAAGGCTAAATTATGAAGGACAATGAGGAATTGTTTTTTGCACATATGTGAATGAAAACCTTCAGAGACTAATACACTCTTAGGAGCATAAAAATTTTTGAGAGAGAACAACCACAGGATGCAGATAAATGTATGGACTAGGGACTCCATCAAAATGTTCTCCTTCATTTGTTCCAAACTTAGAAACAAAAATGTAAAGAAGCAGGAAAAATGAAAATACTTCAAGTGCATAAATACTAATGTATCCAAGGCAATTTCATCAGGATCTAAAAATATACATTGAAATGAAAGATTAAGAAAAATGGGAACACAACACATCAAACAGGACTATTATCCACTTATCTTACCACAAAATGCTTCTGGAAGCTCATCAATAAGTTGAGGTTTCCAGCCCTCCATGATTCTTCTAGGAACCTCCATTGGATCCTCCACAATCTCCTCCATCCGATGACCTTCATAATGGTCCATTATTGTAACCATGTTCTCTTTGGCCACAATCTCCATACTCGGTTGAGCTCCTACGACGCTATATCGCCCCTAACATAATTGACAAAAAGCAAATTAAAGACCCACATTACATAAACATGCATTTTCACATATATAAGAACAGTAAAAGTTGAAGGCCATACGATTGTGGAAGCATCCAAACCAGGCTCGACTGATTCAAACAGAAAGCTTGGAGCATCTCTATCATCTTCCCTAACCAGACATCGGTACGCAAGCACTGGAGTTAGGTGATCTGAGAATATACATCGGTATACAGGAATTAAATTCCCATTCTTTGAAGCTTCTTGAAATCTTGCTAGCTGATTATCTGGAAAGCATTAAAACATAATGATTAGCACTCGCCTTTTTTTCTAAGAAAAAAGGAAAATGATGACTATGTCATTAACTTAATAAATGATTAGTACAGTCACTAGATAGTACATCGTTGAGTATGGAACGTTGGAAAAACTTCCATCCAATTAATACAATCAGTTACAGTGTTAGCATGTCTAACCAAAAGATGAGCAGCTCTACTGCTGGAACAAGGAGCAAGGATAATGTGCCGATAAAGAAACGTAATGAGAATAGCACAAATATCCTCATAAATCACAGAGACAGCAGAAAAGCTTCCAATGAACGAGCTTAGATTGCATTGCAGGGATCACTTGAATCAAATTCAAAGATTAAATCTAGAAAACCACAATCTGCAGCAAAACCAAATCCTCCGTCAGGGAATAAGCCTCAATACTTGCTGGATCCGAGGCTTTTATGAAGAGACCTTCCTGCCATAAGTTCACATTTGTAATTTCGAAAAAAATTAATAAATAAAACACCAACACCTCCCCTTCTGTCAGACTTGAAAATAGTGATTCAACATTTATCTTCATACAAGGATCTGACGGAGGATGCCAACGCTAGACAGCAGATACATGATTCCTTACTGGTTGAGAGTGAAACAGAACCTTTCCATGAAATTCAGCAAGATAACAAGCAGTAAGAGTCATAGTCGATGGGGGATCTTTGACTTGTTTGGCATGGAGTAGATTATTTCAATTCCCCAAAATAACTCAAAAGGTGACAAAAAAATTCCGAACAATTATGATCCAACAAATACTGAATCTGAAGGAAACGTTGCTGTCCATTAAGAGCATAAAATAAGCAGGCAGCCTCCTCGGAGATGAAACCAATCAAGTAGCTCTTGCATGACGCATTCACAAGGGACCCATCTGCTCTTCCACACAGGCTACAACAAGAATCAATGTCAATATCCCTCCTGCATAAAGCTTATGCTGTTGGAAGAATACTGTGACAGAACCTCCTTAAGAAAAGTTTGATCTTGTTAGGCAGCTGCAAATCCCAAAATTTGTCCAAACACTTGTAGAACTCCAATAGAAAAAGCTTGATTACTTTCCCCTGTGCACCATACACAAACACAAACTGAAGCATCATAGATACTCTTCACAGTGAAGATGCCTTCAGAATTCGGAGCCAAGACCAATTTATCTTCCCGATGTTGTGTGCTCAGAGGGGTTTGACAAATTGTATCAGCTTCGTGTAGTAAGAAAATGGATCTAATCAAATCTTCCTCGCACTGCATATTAGTCTTATCAATTAGAGATTCCACACATGCCCAAACATCTAAAATCTTCACCTGGGAAACCACTTTAAAAAACTAAGAATTCATTAACCATCGATCCTCCCAAATGGAAATGTTGCGTCCATTACCAATCCCCAAATCAGACCAGCTTCAAGAGCCTTATGTCCCTCACTTATACTCCTCCAAGTAAAAGATACTTTGCGTCCAAGATTTGCAACTAACAATGATGCATGATGGAATATTCTCTTTCAAACCCAAACACAAAATTAAAAAAAAAAAAAAGGATTTGTCAAAATCTTCCACCCCTGCATGGCTAAAAGACTCAATCAAAAGTTTCCAAATTGCTGCACCTTTAGCCAACATCTTTTTCTGGGTTACAAGATTTCTCTTCCTGCGGCCATAGATTTTCCTAGCATCTGAATTTAGCCCCTACCAAATTTGATCAAAGGCAAAAGAGACTAGGCTGACCCAAATTCTCGTGCACAAGAAAATGAGGAAATATATTCGTGCAAATACATTTAAGTATACTCACAAATGGTATGCACAAGAAAATGAAGAAATATATACGTGCAAATACATTTAAGTATACTCACAAATGGTATCTAGGTTTAATAGAATTCAAGACATCAAAGTGAAGCATTGCCTTTGAACCATTTGGTTTCTGAGAAAAATAGTAACAAAAAGAATTTATAGAGCCCACTGATTAGTTGATCTTTCATATGCTGTACTCTCTTTATTTGGACCCAAAAACTTCTATTTTACTCAGCATTACAAAATTGGATTTTAACCAAATTAAAAACAACAAAACTCTATTATATTTTGAAGCCCTACAATTTTCAGCAAGCAGAAGATAAAATTGAAAATGTTGATTCGTTTTCTCTTTTACCGCTAAGATTGATGTATCAGCAAGAAACAGAACTTAGATTGACATAACCGACTAAGCTGGCATATCAACTTTTAACTTCTGTTGAGAAAAACAGCTTGGCATGAAACAAACGCACCCAAATTTCCAATTTCGTTCCTTTCCTCCATTTCTTGACAACCAAACAGTACAAATTCATTGTCTTTTCCAATTGATTTATTTTGCCAACATGCCAAACAGAACACAAAAAATAGCTACAGGCAACACGTAATTTAGAAAGTGGAAATGAGAATTAAGCACCCAGTGTTGAAGCTGAGCATTTGAGTTTACATCCACGCGAGCTCGAACCAACAAGAGCGAGAGACCTTGAGCTTGAGAGTCTAACGTTGAAATTAACGGAGGATGTTGCAGGCAAGCTGAGACTTGACGGAAGCAGACGATGAGTGACGGCTAGGGTTTTGTCCATGGACTTCAAAGAGCATTTGTTAAAGGAAGAAAAGGGAAATTGAGAGACTTCGCACATGGCGGCAGTGAATTCAAAGCAGCGTGCCTCTCTCTGTCTCTGTGTCTTTCTTTTCTTTTTGATTCCCTGGAAGTTTGAATTGACAAATTTCACGGTTACTCGCGAAAGAAATGCAAAAACAAACTTCGGCTAGATCATTTTGGGCTATTATTTATAGTATGGGTGAGCTTTGGGTTGGGCTAGATTTTGTAAAAGAAAACCCAAACAATGGCAACGTATTAAAATGCAATGCCTTAACTAAAAGCTAATGGGCCAGGCATGGTAGAGTTTACCCCAAAAATCAAGTATGGACGATCATTTCAAGTAGGCAATTCTTAATATTTCCATACTTTCTTTTATTTTTGTATCACAAATATAGCTACGACGGACACTTACCAGATTAGGATGCTATTATATTTAATTGATATGTTGTTTCCTTTAAAATTAAGCTGCACATCCATCCAAGAAGAGAAAAGTAATTTATTGAACGTTCACCTTTTCTTTTCAACCATATATTATCTTAGCTTCTTTTCTTCTCTTTCTTTTTCTTTCATTGGTTTTTAAGATATTCAACCAATATATATATATAGGCTACGTGTTATGATAAACTCATTTTTTTTAATAGAGAATGTTTTAGGCAAATTAAGGTTATTTCCTCTCATTCGTTATTGGTAGAAACAATTTAAAAAAAAAAAGAAGTAAATTATCCTTTCATCTTTCAGTTTTCAACGTAATTGTAACTTAATATTCCTTAATTTTCAAAAATCTACAATTATTTCTTCTATATTGTGCTATGTTTATAAACTTTTTCTACTATATATACAGGTCCATACGTATGGCAATGTATACTTAATTATCTATCTTTACTTTTTATAAAACTAATGAGATGATTCCTCAAGAAAGAAATATGAATGAAAAAAGGTGCTGAATGAAGAGGAGTCAACAATTTTTAATAAAAGAACGTTTTAAGCATACAGTATTTAGTAAGGTTATTTCCTCCCTTCTGTTATTTAGAGAAACATTTTTCTTTTAAGAAAAAAAAGTAAATTATTCTTCGTCTTTCAGTTTTCAACGCTTAGTTCTTTAGTTTCCAAAAATCTACAATTATTTTCTCTACTTTAATTCTCTTTTGTAACTTAATCCTTTTTAACAGTTCATGGCCAATTCCCTGTTATTATTTATCAAAAAATCCTTTAAAAAATTGGTATTTTTATCTGGTTTTTTTACGCATACAAACAAAAATCAAATTTGCTATCAAAAATAATTTCAAAAATTTTTTAGATCAGAATGTTTTAAAAAAAAATTGTAAACATTAAATATTTACGATATTATAAAAAAGTAGATAACAAGTTGAAATGATCCCAAATTTTGTTGAGCCCCTAAAAAATCATTTACTTGCTTATTTTTAATATGATTCGTCAACATATTTACATGTCGAATGTGTAACACATAATGAAAGTTTAAAATAAAATAATTTTGAGAACAGCACATGAAAATATTTCAAGAATCATATTAAGAATAATTAAAAAGATAAATTTATTAGGGCTTCCAAAAAAATGGAATTCTTCCAAATTATTTTCATTTTTTACAATTTTATAAATATTTAATGTTTAAGAAAAATATTTCCTAATCCGAAAAAAAAATGAAATTATTTTAAAAATATATTATATTTTTATTATCATATGTAAAATTTTTCCGTTCAAAATGAAAAAAAAATAAATAAATATTTTTTGTCAATGATGACAAATAATTAAAAGTGCATTGCAAAAACGGACCAAGTTAAAAACATAGCATTAAAACGGGAACATAGTTGTTTGGTTTTTGAAAATAATGGGACTAAGTTGTAATTGCATTAAAAACTAAGGAGAGAAATAATAATTCACTCTTTAAAAAACAAGCAATGGAAAATGTCATCCTCAATAATATTTCTTGGATAATGTTAGAGATAATTTTTTACTAAATTTTTTTTATTAGGTGACCTGACATTAGGTCAACTAGTTGATTTTATAATTATAGTTATTTTATTAAATATGATAAGATTTATATTTTATAATTTGAAATTCTTTTCTTACAATAGATAACGCATCATTTAATAAGTAAATTTTAATATAAAAAAATAATGTTTCTAAGCATGACCCTCTTTTTTCAAACCGATAGTGAATTTACTGGCCTACTACATACGGTGAAGTGTCTTTTTGTATGATTGTACCTTAGGCATAACACTTGATGGATTCTGAATGCAAAATAGTTGTCGTCTATTATTTATTTATTTATTTATTATTATTATTATTTTGATAAAAACATAATAATATATACTACAATTTTTGTACAGAAACTCTTAAGTTTCCTCCATTATAAACATGTATCGTCTCATCAATAAAATTGTATACACTTCTCAATCTAGAGAAAACAATATATATATTCAGATGATTATTTTATTTTTATTTTTTTTTTAGTAAAAACAAGAAAGACACACGAATGAATTAATTACGCGGCACGTAATCCTTTTCAAATGTGGTTGGAGGGATCTATTATACGAATGCATAATAGAAAATTATGAACTAATATTCGTTAAGCAAAAACTTTATTATATTTTTAGTCTCTATTAAAAATATAATAAGATGAGTCACACGATAATCATTAATAAAATCATAAAATAAATATTTCATCTCTACTCGTCATGAAAGTATCGCAAATTTTGATCTTAGTTGAACGTGATGGGATACCTTAAAACTCTAGCTAGTATTTCTTGCCTGACATAAGTAAATCTATGCATCAGTTTTTCCTTCTTTCAAGAAAATAGATCACCCGCTTCACTTTGCAAATAATTTACCTTGCTTTCTTAAGGAAAAGACAAAATTATCTACGCCTTTTATTTTATAAATGAATGCAATCAATTAAAAAAAGGCGTTCTTGAAAAAAAGAAAAAAATATCAATTCCCAGGTTCTTATTAGTAAAAAAGAAAAATAATTTAAAGCATGTTCACGATGGTGGGACCAACAAAAATCTCTCTGTGCTTGCGACATTGGAAAAAAGGATACCTCGGAGCCACGAATCTTGATTATCTGGGCCCGAATAAATTGGACCATTTACATTACAGTCCAAACATATCACTAAAGTGTTCATGGACCGAACCCTATACGGCAGTGAACTTAATCCTAGGATTTTGCTAAAAATCTCTATCTCAGTCTACTATGGTCAACAAACAACCATGACCGTAAAACCCTCAACGACGGCGGGGAAGAAGTCCACAAAAGCAGAGAAGAAGGAGCACTACGACGGGAAAGTATGTCGTCTCCTGGACGAATACTCTCAAGTTTGATCGTAAGTGTTCATAATGTGGATCCAACAAACTCCGAAGCATTAGAAGGATTGTATAGAGTTACTCTGTTGTTTTGAGTTGTGAATTTAATCTCACAACATAAATTTGATTTCGTAAAAAAAATAATCAACGGAAAACAATCAAGCCAAACACATACAATAATGAAAACGGCTAAACAGATCAATTACAAGAATACAACTATGGAAACAATAAATTTATATAAAAAAATCTTATTAATCGTGGAAAAAAATTTATAAGATTAACTCTAAAATAATCTTTATAATTAAAAAAGCAATAAAATCATTCGAGGTTTCTTTATGAATTTAAGAAATAATATTTAAAGTTTAAAAATCAATGCTGGAAAAAATCTTAATATTTTGTGCATCAAAAACCCTTCATTGTTTCTTCATATAGGCTCTGTCAAAGAATTTGAAAAAAAACACACACACCCTTGTTTTCTTTTCTTTTCTCTCCAACTACTCTCTTAAGCAGTTGTTCACGAAAAAAAATCATTTTTTTTTTATATATACATGTGTTGGCTAAAAAAAAAACAAAACAAGAAAAAAAAAACTTTGTTTACAATAGTCATTTTCCTATTTATCTTCAATCATTTTCTGATTAATTATTTTTCTAATTAGTGTTTCTCCTAATTAATTTATTTATCTTGAAGAATTATTGCTGATATCATCGGTTGTTTCTTCATTAACTTCCAAAGCCAATGACATCATTGATCATTAAGCTTTGATTTTTTATCCTTATCATAAGTTAAAATATTACAAAAGTTATTTAACATTTCTTCATCTATCAACAAGATATTATTAAAATTAAAACTTCATGAAAATAAATAGATAATTTATAATACACTTGATGGAGAAGCTAAAAGAAGTGGCGGGTGTATTTTTCACACAAATACTTGAGTGCAGCATGTTTTTCTAGATCGGGAGGAATATAGCCTGGCAATGAGTTATTATCAAGATCCCTGCTAATTGATTGATATCTATAAGTGCAATCATGTTTGAATGATAAGAACTGTGAAGCATATAATTATCCATGTATTTCACACACATATATGTAAACTAATCTTAAGATTTGTTTTTATTATTTTCACTGCATGCCTTTGTGAAAATTTATTTATTTGATTGTTGTCATCTAAGATTTTACAGATAAGATTGATTCGTTTGGCTACAAATTGTGTCATGTGGAGAAAAACTTATATAAAAACATAAGTTATAGCGATGAATAGTGTTTTATAAGAAAGTAAACAGTAATTTTCACTATTCAAACCTTTTTATTTTAATATTATAATAATTGTGTCATATGAAGTATAAAATTTTTAATCTCTGCAAGTGTTGTAAAAAGAAAAACTTACATAAAAACATAAATTATAATAATAAATAGTAGTTTGTGAGTGAGTGAACAATGATTTCCATTGTCCCTTCCCTAATTTTAGTGTTATGGTAATTGTGTCACATGAGGCTCAAAATTATTAATCCCCGTGAGTGCTTGTGTGGAGAAGAACTTACATAAAAACCTAAACCACAATAATAAATAGTAGTTTGTAAGAAAGTGAACAGTGATTTTTATTGTTCAAACCCTTCCTATTTTAGTGTTATTGTAATTGTATCATGTGAGGCTCGGAATTATTAATCCTCATAGGTGTTATAAGCAAAAGAACTTAAATAAAAATATAAGCTACAGTAATGAATAATGATTTGTGAGGAAATAAACAATGATTTTCACTATTCAAAGCTCATTTCTCAAATTTTAGTGTTATAGTAATTATGCCATATGAGATTCAGAATTATTAATCCTCGTAAATGTTGTAAGGAAAAAAACTTACATGTATCTCAATTTTTTACATCACCTATGCTTGTTAGCATAGATGCCTTCAATTTGTTGCTTGAAAGATCCCTGGTTTTTAACACATATATCAGAATGAAGGTATGTACATTTATACAGCCAAGATTAGAGATATTAAACCATAGCAAGTTAATACACCTATCCATTTAAGACGCCATGCAATATGTTGTTGCATCTGTCCCATTTATAATTTTTCTTATTTCAAAATTTGTCAGGCTATAAATTATTAAACAAATCATCGAATCAGAGAGAGAAAGGAGGTCATGTCTCAGTATTTCCAAATTCTAATAGGTTAGGTGTTAATGCACCTTGGTGACCTATGGGTAAAAATATTAGTAGGTTATCAACTTGTTTTGTCATAGTTAGTGTGCTATTATCTAAATTTTTTATTTGATATCATCTTTAAAAACCTAATAAATTTGATCGTAACAATCTAATCTTCGATTCTTTCAAAAATAATTTTATTGTATTATTTTTAGTTAATTATATTTGTATTACACTGTTGATTTTAGATTTCTCTTAATAATTTTATACCGAGTTTAATCTTTAAAAAAAATTATTAAGAATAGGGCTTAATCTCTTAAATTGTTACAACGAGGAATCAAATATTGCCACCCACAATAAAAAAATTTTTTAAAAAAAATTGACATCTATTGATGTGTTAAAGGGGCTTAGGACTACGCTATGAGTATAACATATCATTCCTTAATCTCATAAATCTAAATCCAAACTTAAACCATCGGACTGTCTGGATCCTAATTGGCTAATTGCTTTCAAGAAATACTTAAAGCGTCTCATTGGCATTTTAATATTTTTTATTTTCATTACCAGTACTTAATGCATTTCATAAACAAATATATTCTGTTGCCATGCCATCTGCAATGGTTGGTAGATGCAGGAGCAGAATTACATTACCAAACTTTGAAAAGTTTTACATTTTAGTCCTAAATTTTGCATGTTTTAATTACACCCTTCAATTTAGGGCTACTTATGTATAAATCTATACTCAATTAGTCCTTCATCTGTTGATATTTCTGTAATGGAAACTCGTAAAATAACGTCTATGCGATCCAGGTCTATTACATCTCCTCTGTTTTTGGCATGTTTCCATCGATGTATTGACCTTAACATGTGAGAAAGCTCAACTAAATGTCTGCCATGAAACTTGCTTTGGCACTGACATTTCATTCTGAAAGAAAAATGCATGAAAACTTTTAGAAACAAGGAACTATAAAATCAGATACACATTAACCCAAAATCAACAGCTACCAACCTTGGAATAGGTCACGTACCCTCATAAATAGCAACCAAATATGAGGTTGAAAGGGAAAAAATCCATGCACTTGTCAAACTTTTGCATCACTTAAGACAATTCCGAAAGAATCGAACTCCCTGGCCAAGTAAACACATAAGATGATACGAATCCAATTGATGATTAGGGAGGACATAAGCTAATAAGAATCAATAGCTTCTCTTTTTGAATCCATACCTGCAATGCAAATGTGATGTCTGCTTCATCTACTTTTAAGGTGACTCTCTTTAATTTATCATCACGAGACTGGCCTAGTTTAAGAAGCCCCTGCGCAATGTTCTCAACATCATTCCATTGTTGGTGAAAGTAATTATTCAGTAAAAATATTGTTGTGCTTAACCTATTTCCTGTCTGACTCACAAATTTATATGAGCATGTGTTGATTTTGCTTGGCTAAATAAAATTCTCAGGAATGAACTAAAGCAGGACGTTCATTTTTCTTTCTTTACCTGGTCAGCTAGTACTCTGCACATATTCAAAAATTCCAAGATTCCAACTGGCGGTATAATTGTGGATTTGCAGATCTCCATGTAAGATTTATTCAGCTGCATCCATGTAACAAGTTCAGTATCAGTGACAACTGCTAGATGTTCTTGTAATCAGTATTTTAAGAAAAGAAAGCACACCTCTCCTACAATAGTATCCTTCTTTCCTCCACGGAAAAACTTCACGGCAGCGCACAGTATTATCTGCAGTACATATGTCATTAAAACACCGGAATCTTGACACTTTTAACACTAGAACAGGCCCCCAAAGAGGACAGTAACACGAAATCTAAACGAATTGGAGCTTTCATATGAGAATCAAAAGGAATTCCACATTGCAGAACCGGTTAAAGAATCATCGTGTTAGATACATATAAATCGTACTAGTGATATCTGCAAATCAGTAATTACAGAGTAACTGGCCCAAACTTACTTGTTGATGCTGAGGGAGGGACTGTATGGTGTCCACTATAGGGGATCTAAATGCTTTTGATAAAGCAACAGCCATATGATCAATCCTCACCTATAACAAGTTCAGAGACATTCATCATGAAAATTTTCAACATAATTTCTTGAATTAAATTGGAATTGTCATGTCGATAGCATGATTAGTCCAGAAAAGAACTGTGGAGTTTTATACTTATGAAATGCAGAGTACTGTCAATATGAGGAAGCCTTGCAATAAGTTAATAGCATGATGTACTAATAATGTATATCCAAATTAGAAGCAAAACCACACTGCTATCAAGTACTTACAATGTCGTTTTCTTGTGTTTTTATACAAGCTGGAGCTGTCTTTTGTTGAGAAAACGCTTTGTCAGTTGAAAATGAAGTTAGGTTGCTCATAGATTCTCTCAATTCTGCTTCTAGAATCTCAATTGCACTCCTGAGAAAATAAAAAGCATAAGCTATACATACTGCCACTTCCAAAGCCCAAAATGGGAAAGGTTGGCAAATACCACTATGCAAAAACCAGAATCTGTGTCGTTTGCATATTTAAGTAATTTGGATTAGAGTAAACCCAAAGCTATGAGAAATAAATGCAAAAGAAGATAGTTCAGAAAATTGAATGAATAATAAAAGAGAGAAAACACTGACCTGCAAACACAAAGGGCTTTGCGCATGTCTCCAGATGCAGCTGCAACTTTCTGTTATAAGTCAAGGAAGGCTATTGGTTAATTGTATAAAAGCAAACTAATTCAAAGTGCACGCAAACAAAAATGGACTTACTCTGGCACAGAGTTCCAATGCTTGTGGGTGAAAAACTAAGTGTGGCACTGCCTGTTGATGCAGAGCAACAGTTATGACAAGTCAACAGAGCACCAATATAATTTCAAAAACTATATTCTTTACTTAATTCTAACCAGAAACCATTTGATATAAACTATCTAGTTCAATTCTGAGATGAAGTACGATGGAGATTGGTGTTTTGTATTTCCAAAGCAACATCACAATAGATTTGCACATTTTTAATTTTTTGTTAAGAAACCTTATTTCGTGCAATATGTACATCCAAAAACCTGAAATTGTTTACTGAACCTCCCCTCCAAAACAAATGGAACATAGTGATTATACTTTCAAGCCACATCCATGTAAATGGAATGCCAGTCTTTCTTAAGATCAACTCCTGTGATAAGCTTCAGTCATTATTATTCCAATACATTTTTATACACCTGGCAGTACCTAGAGGATGTACAGTTCCCTGAAAAACTACTGGCAAAACATGCAGGCTCCTACAGACTTCCTAGAAGACATAGTTTGTTTCTAGCTTCTGATGCCAGATTTTCATAATTTTCAGGGTACAGGGGCAAGCATATTCCTTTGTTGTTTATTCAGCCTCAATTATTCAGTTAGTTAAACAGAAGTGTATCAAGAATAGATGTTAAGACTGTTAGATATACATTCTATATTCCAATGCACCTTTAAGATTTGTAATCCTCCTGTTTCTGTGTTAGACAATGCTACGTGTTCCAAATTCCAAAGTGATTTTAAAGTATATTGCATATATTTCTCTTTCGGATCTCATCTCTATAAATTTCTCAAGTATCTTAGTGTGTGAGGCAAAGCATGCTCATGCGTATTGGAAAGTGTAAAATGTGGATATAAATTACCATTAGCCTCTCCTGAAGTATTCTGAGGATTTGGTCCTTGGAATAGGCCCTGAAAGTTATAACCAGAGGTTTGCCTGTACAGGAAAGAATGCATTTGAACCCACCAATAAGTAACAAACCCAAATTCATTCTTAATAATTGACAAGTGACTGAACAGAAAAACAAAAATTTCTGAAATGAAAAATGCTAGTAACTTGATTTCATGACACTGAATCAAGGATAAGCATCAGCATGATGATGCAGAAAAAAATCATTATTTAAGGCAGATCAGAATGAGTTTGATAATTATTTTGATCAACTTGAAGAAAGCAACTAATGAACTCACAATTCAAAGACTTAAGTCTCGGAAGAAAGCGATCTGCTAGGTCTTTGGCATTTGCTACTCCTGAAACAGCAAAGTTTGTGGAGTTAATTCTGGTTTGAATGTCGTATGCAAACTTAAAACCAACAAGACAGTAAAGAACATTTGGGTGAGAAATTTGTCACAAATATTACCTATCAGTATGCATTTAGAAAATGGTAAAGTTGTAAGCATGAAAAGATCATGGAGGACACCACAGTCCTTGCTTATTAAATAATCCAACTCATCAGCAATTATCAGCCTGCAAAAGGTGAAGTTTACTGACATTATGCATCAAAATTCATCAATTCAAATAGATTTTGCATATGCCATGGTCTATTTTACATGTCTATGAAGATAGCTGAGACCATAAAATTCTGTGCATTTGACAGTGTATTAGCCTACCCGTTTAATTGAAAAAAAGATGACAATCTATTAACCCATGTGCCAAGGACATGATTCTTACATCATTTTTGTGACTGATGACTGCTGCTGCTGCGAATACAACCTCTGGAGATGTTGTAAAGGGGAAGTAGATCCATTGATTTTTTTCCTCGGTTGGTTCTTCTCCATCATCTAAGAAGACAAATCAGCTGATAAGCATACACGGCTTCTATATGCTACTAAACAATATTCAGTGGAAAGAACTGTTTGTCAGTACCTTGCTGAAAATTTCAGATGTTTTTGCTAATGAAGTACAATTCATGGCCAGTACATCCGGAGACTGAAACCCAGCCTGATAGGAGAATAACTTGATGAGCATTGACAATCAGGAAAAAGCAAATTCACAGCAACAAGCAGAAAAAGAAAAAAAAACACATTGTGAGCGGACCTTACAAGGCATTTGATTACTATAACTTGGTATTGATTTCAAGAAATCCAGTTACCTAAGTTTTTCCAATCATTCATTTCTATGAACACTATTAAAATGGCATAAAAAGCACCAAATTTCATTGGAGTGTGAAGGTGCAAAAGGCAAAGAAAGATCACAACACAGCGGAATATTAGGTAATTACAAGCATCCATGTTTTTTTATGCCAAAATGCAGAAAATCAAACCCATCTCACTGAATTCACATCTATTAGAGATTCTAAAACCATAATTCAACTTCACTTACCTCTTTTGCCCAGTCAACTATACGCTGCTTCACTTTCTCCATCGACAGCGATTTCCCAGTCCCAGGACACCCACACACATACAAACTCCCGGCCTTTTCCTGCTCAATACACGCCTTACAGAAATCAAAAAGCCTTTTCTGCTCATCTTCACGGCACACAACACTAGATGGTGCTGTTGACAAATGCAATGCCTCCTTCACTGCGCTCATTTGCTTTACATCTACAATTAAACCATAATAATAAGCTCAGCCAAACATTAATAAAAATTATTATAAAAAAGCCGGTGAGCAATCAAAGAAAAACCTGTTGGATTCCAATTTGGCTTCTCGCTGAAATTATTTGACAATTTTTTCTTCACTGGTGATTTGCAATTCTTTTCTAATTTCTCAATTCCCTGAAAATTAGCAAATTGACAAACACTTTAATCACTAAAAAAACAGACAACACACCTAACTTCTATAGTTGAAATTAAGATATATAAATACATTAAAAGCTCACATTAGTAGGAGTGTTAGGGCTCGAATCGATGCATCGGCGAGGCGATTTCCGCTTCAAAGGAGAAGATATTGGACTCTTGTGCATCACTAGATCTGCATTAGATCTCAATCTTCGCTTCTGAGGAGTAGATTCACCGTTGGACCGGGAGATGTCGTCCGATTTGACGGCCATGATTGAAGAATTGCAGCCTGCGATTGACGGCATCGGTAACTGAATATGTGTGTTTGTTAGGTTTAAAGCAACAAACGTAAACAAAAAACTTTGCCGTTATTTTTAATGACGAACAGAAAGTGAGGTGTTGATGGATAAATAGACGGGGGAGGAGGTTTTTGGTGGGCTAGTGAAATTCTTTTCGCGGGAAAATGTAACCGTATCAAATTCGTCTCCCGCGTGAGTAATTGATTTTTTTCAAGTCTTGTCTTAATTCACGTTTGGGCTGGACTCGGTCCATTTAAATGATTTACTTGGACCTCAGCCAGGGCTAAGTATGTGATTAATAATATTTTAGAGCACTGGAGTTATTTGTCACAAAAACCCATGGACTTTTTTTTTTTTTTTTGGCATTTAAAAACCCCTAAAATAAAAGTGTTTGTGCCAAAACAATCCAGACCTTGTTAAATGAGAATTAGATATGTGAGGTTTTGGTGTAAAAAAAATTTTTGGATAAAAAAAAATTTGATGAAGGAATTTGATAACTATTTCAATAATAAAAGTAATGCAATTAATTATTTATCTATATAATGTGCATGGTTAGAAAAAAATTTGATGAGGGAATTTGATAGCTATTTCAATAATAAAAGAAATGCAATTAATTATTTATCTATATAATGTGCATGGTTAGAAAAAATATCTGTGCTCATAGAATATTAAAAAAAAGGGTTTAAATTATATAATTTTCGAACTCAAGTGTTGGCTAATCTTTAGACCGTGGAGGGACTTGAGCCCATAATTTAAGGTATATAATCTAAAAATGATTTGGTGTTAAAAAAAAAAATACATAAGAGGTTTTTAAAACCATTCATTAATAAAGATCTGATCATTAAAATGTATTATTATAGAGTGCATAATTTTAAAAATAATTTTGTACCTTCGAAAAAATAAGTAAAGAAAAAAACTCAAAAATATTGCTTTTTAATATGTCCTTTTGGTGTAATTGAGCTAAATAGATAGATCGTGCCTAATGTTAATTAAAATATTCTTACTTTTGGACTAATTTATAAATTTACTGTATGGAAGCAAAAAAAGAAAAGTATAGTAGATTATAACTAGTTTGATGGCTCTCGTGCTATTGTAAGTCTACTACAAGAATTATTTTATTTTTTAAAATAAAATCATGATATAATTTAAATAAATTGAAATTAAGTTCAACAAATATTGATATATGTAAATAAGGTAAATGGATTGTAAAGTAGATACACAAATCATATATTAAAGAATCCATAGCGTGGAGAAATTTTTTTTTTTAAGTCTATCAAATATTTAGGACAGCCGAAAAATCATCAAAAACTTTGTTTTAACTCATATTTTAGTAGATACATAAATCATATATTAAAAAAAACTAATAATATCATTTTATCTTTTTTTTACCAAAATTTGCATTAAATTAATTTTTCCTTGTTAATTTTATGAATTTCCTAAAAAAAATGATTTATTTGTCTTCACATTTTCAAAAGAAAACCTGTATTTACATGGGATTAAATTGTGGATTATTGCCGGAAGTAGTCGCTTTGTGGAATTTTTTTTTGTGTTGGATTTCTGGAAATGTAGTAGCGGGTGCTACTTCTACACGGAGAGGAGTAAGCAGGATTGCAACTTACCTAGTCCATGGACTAAAAACCTCTAACACAGCCGGAGGGTCTAGTCATATGCTACAATTTAAAGCCCGATCCTGGCCAGAATGTAAACTAGAGCAAGTCAGGCTACCGGATAGTAATCTTTACCCAAGCCCACCCAAATCCCCTTGGGCTGAAAGATTGTAGTCTTTTGACTGCAATCTTGCATAAATGAGACGCTTTTGAACTACGAAACTTTACCCAAGGTCAAATAATGACCGCAGGATCACTTCATTTAACGAAAAAATATTAACAATTATGTACTGGGGTCCACAGTGAACTTATATACCTTCCTTCCAATTATGCACAGCTACTTCACGAAAAAGAAGAAAAGAATTGGAAAATCATGCATCTTATGAAAGTGTTGAATAAACAAAATTTTATTTTTCTCCATCTAAAGTTTCAACATCGACCGTTGAATCTACTAACTATATATTAGAAAGATGAATCAATATTACCTTTTGTAGCATAGTATCTAATTTATAAATTGAACCATCCAAGTGGTCGGTCTCTAACGATGATTCATGCGGCTAAACACTCACACAAGAAACGACAAAAATGCTAGAGTGCTAGCGCCAATTGTTTTCGCTATGCATAATTTTTTCGATAATAAATCACTCAAAGGAAGACGGCACGATTTGTTTATAAGGGAGGATGGCACAATTTCTTTCTATTAAAGAAATTACGTCTCTCTCTTTATATATTCGATCATACCTCTTTTCTAGTCGGGGAGTTGTATCTTATGTGGTTTTGATGGATCTTATCCTTGTAAATCTTGAATTACGTTTAATGAACTTTTACCTTAAATTCTCTAAAATACCCCTTGTAAGCTTTTACTTAAGCATGTTGGCCCAAACTCTTTAGGCCCAATAACTTAATAATTAATTTGAACTATCCAAATAAGTTAAGTCGGGTATTTTAGGAAAGCTCACATTAGTAAACGGTTTCCTAAATTATCCTTGTAGTTTATTAAACCTAAATTAAGAAACTAATTTCTAAAATAGGAAATTGATTTCCAAATTAGAAAATTGATTTCGTTTTAGAAAATTAATTTCCAATTCATGAAAGTTTTTTCAAATTCTTCGTTTTTCTTTTTCCATGTGAATATTTAAATTTACGTGCGTGACTTAATAGGCTTATAGATATGTTGATAATATATCGAGAAGCAAAAGACATTTATTTTATCTCTCGTTACATAAATCAAGATTGGCCTCTAATAAGGCATCATGACTATCCAAATATTTAGGCTCCGTTTATTTGGCGAAAAACAACTTTCATAGAAAAATCAATTCCTAAAGAAGCTATTTTTCAGAAAATTATTTTTTTTAAAAAAAATATTTTGTACCATTTGGTAATAATATGAAAAAATGCTAGAAAATATATTTCGGTGATTGTTTGACAAAGAAAATTAAAATATAAAAATAGTATGTAATTGTTACATCAATGAGTTTTGAGAAAACTTCAAAAAGTCATATTCACAATTTCACAATATAAGATACATTTAGAAAATTTTAATAAATTTTCATAAATACTGACTCTAAAATTTAAATTCAAAAAATAAAATATACTTTTTTAACCATCAAACCAATTCATCAAAACTACTCGGACAAAATCAAGTCAATATTCACATTTAGTGTAAAAAAAAAAAATCTAAGTAATCTTAGCATTGTTATTTTAGTAACTTAATTAAGAATTCTTTTTTTTCTTGGAAATTAAATTGATAATTTAGTCCGAAAAAAAAATTTTATAAATCATTTGTTATCATTTGTAGATAATTATTCATTTGGTTTCAAAACATTAATGTTGGAATAATTTGTAACTAATTATTCACTACAATTACCAATACAATTTTACAACCGATTAAAATCACAGATTATTGATTTAGTTGCAAATGAAAAGTTTTGAAAAAATAATATATTTATTAATGAATTAACTAGTTTCTTTTTTTTTATATAAATGATTGTAGTCTCGTAATAATCATTTTCAATCATTTAAGGATAGTTTAGATGGTGTTTGAGACAATAGTAAAAAATAGAGATAAATTATTAAAATATTTATTATAAAATAATTTTAAGGTGTAAAAATGGTTTTCAAGAATATATAACGTATTTTATAAATAAAAAAATCAAATGTTAGTAGAAATAGAGAAAAAAATTAAATAAGAAATAATTAAAAATTAATTTGATATGTTTTAAATAAAAAAAATAGAGAAAAAAATTGCTAAAATATATCGAGAAAGAGGTAAATAATGCGAGAACGAGACAAATCGTGAGAAGAAAAATGTTTTTCTCTTTTTTAACTCGGAAAATATTTTTTCAAAAATACTCTATCATTTTTCGTTGATCGAAAATCATTTTTCGTTGACATTTTCTAAACACAAAACAAGCAATGAAAAAATAGGAAAAACAAGTTTTTGGAACTTGTTTTCCTCTAAATAAACACAACCCTATAAGGATTACTTAATTTGCAATAACTTTTCATGAGTATGGCTTTCATAAAATTCGGTATTCGTGTCAATTTATTACAATGTGATCTCAAACTTAGTTTGTTTTTTGTTTGATTATGAGTACATGAGTTTTCTTCAATCTCCAAATGTCGTCGCTCTCAAGTAAACCAATCATACTATATTAGTATACTTCCACTATGATCACGAGATTCTTGAGCGGACATTCATCTAAGTGCAATGTGATGACTTTTTTAACATATAAAGAATGACATGTCCTATCCGATTTATCCACCTATCTCTATTAGATTTCGATGCACCCAACAAATCACTCACGTGTAGCTTTTTACCGAGTCCATCGAAACGAATGTCAAAATACATCAATCTTCTAACGAGATAACCATGGTTATTTTAAGTCAAATGACTACTTGTACCCATCTTATATGAGATTTTCATAGACTATACTAAATGGGTTCTCATGATGAGTCATGTTCGGTGATATGTTCTCTAACATTATTCATCCGTGTGCTTACTTTGACATCACCATGTCATTAGGTGTAAGATCCCATACTTGTTATCTTATAGTAAGAGTATAACACTTACAAGTCCGACTATATATTATCCATGTCCAATCTTGACAATGCTATGACTTGGGATATTTAATGATATCATTTATATGCATTAATGTTTATCTCACATGTATTGATTAATTATCAATATAATGTATATCATATGGACTTTTATCCAATTCTATCCAATTATAAATAACAAGAATTAATGAAAAGACTTCTTTATTAATGTTGAAAATACAATGATACAATATTTTAAATCATCCAAATAGGTTGGATCTTGGACACCTACACTAAAAAAAAAATGAGATTAAGATCAATAATCTA